ACAATTGAAGTACCTTTGAGAGACTTGAGAAAAGAATTTAAGAAGAAACATAGCAAAGGCCACAAGAAACAATAGTTAAAGAAGCAAGGTATAAGGGAAAATTTTATTTTGATAAATACTATAAAAAAAGAAAGAAAAATCCTGATTTCATAAAATCAACTCGAGTAGATACTATGTAACACTAATCAATCGAATTAGAGCGAACCATTTCAACCTTAAAGAATCACTAACTAGGACTATATAGAGGACACTAGATGCGTATGTGGGGGAGAAGTAGATTCTTCTTCTTTCTGTTATGGCTGCTTGAGTTTCTTCGGAAGGAAAATAGTCCCATACACCATTAATTGTTCAAATATATCAATATCAGTCAGAATTTGTAAGATCTAAGTTCTACTACGATTTCAAAAATTTCCTCAGAAATGGTCAATAATCAACCATCAAGGGAGAAGTAGAGAGTTTAGAACATGTGTTATAGCAATGCAATAGATACGATGAAGACAGAATAAGAATAGACATAGAACTGAAAAGAGAGGCTTTGTGGGAAATATAGACGTGTACAGGTTAATTAAAGAAAAATTAGATTGCTTTTGAGTGTATATACAATTTTATTAAAAGACGAAAAAGATAATATAAAGAATAAAGACCAAAAGCAAGACATAAGAGACCCTGTGCCATATAACTGAAAGGAACAGTTGAAAGCACACCAAACTTCCTTCACGCGAAGGACACCCTAAAAAATAAGAAATGCATCAATGCATCACCATTTGCCTAACAGCAGTTCTGTCAAATAGTATTTGCTTAATAGCGAATTTGAGTGGATGCACCAGTGCGCAATGACAAGAGTGCATATAAAGGTTTATCACACACAAATTCACAATGACATTAATAATTAAAAAAGAAAAATAATTAATAGTAAAAGCTATTATTATCATTATTCATATTGAACAACAATAATAGCACTTACTATTAATTATTTTCCTTTTTTAATTACTTGTGTCATTGTGAACTTATGTGTGATAAACCTTTATATGCACTCAGTGCGCACTGGTGCATCCAATCGAATTCGCTATAAGAAAATAACATTTGACCAGGAAAGTAGCATTTGAAAACGAAAATCATTCGACATGGTAGATAGCATTTGACTAGTCAAAAGCTATTTGCTGAAAATAACCATTGGCCTACGACATATATATATATATATATATATATATATATATATATATATATATATATATATATATATCCCCCAGACAGCACAGGTAGATTCTGAGTATATACGCAGTATATCGCAAACGTAGATTGTGTATATCCCATTAATATTCGAAATACGTACCAGATATTTTGAAAATGTACGGAGGATGTTCTAATGTCTGCCCTAGAAGCCTACTCAGTATATACTGAGAATATTTCTTGGTATATCGTAAGTATATTAATAAAATATTTTGATCACATTACCAGTGTTTACTAGAATATCTCTTGGTATATTATCAGTATATTTGTAGAATATTTTAAGCATATTACTAATATATGTAGAAGATAGTTAAAATATATATAGGTGTAAGATAAAAAGTAGATTTTTTCATGTAAAAAATAAATAAAAATGTGAAATTATTTAGTGAAATTTATAAACAAAACTTTAGACAAAAATTTACACTTTTTACTTATTTTTATATGAAATATTTACTTTTTAATAGAAAAATTTCTCTCGTTTTTATATCACATATATTTCATCGTTTTATATCACATATATCGTATATATTTAATATACACATATACATATGTATAATATTATATAGATATGTATAATATTATATTATATACTGCACGTAGTGAATACATATCGGTTATATTAGTATATTCATTTAGGTTTTGTTTAATATTTGTCAAGATATCCTATGTGTGTAATTAACTTGTGCATAACATATAATCAATCACATCTATTAAAAATGAGAAAATATATGTAACAGAAATATTTATCATATTTGATTAACAATGGAGTATTTTAACACATGCGCAAATCAATTACAACACACATGGATATATACATTCTAATGCACGTTACTTCTGAGAATTTAGGTGACCAAAAATAAGAAGTACATATACCTGAACCTTTGGAGAACTTTCACTGTACCATAAAACAAAATTCGAAGAAATTTCCAAATATATCCGTTTATCAGATCTTTTTTCACACTGTATGTGTCTTTGATGCGTAGAGATAATGAACAAATAATCAGCTTTGCTGATGGTGATGCACAAAGGCAATGAAGAGACTTCTATGTTTGTCCTGCAAGAAAGTAATAGAAATGTTAAATTTTTCTTTTTGTTCAATATATTCATATATATATAATGTACATATCAATAATTAATATATACATCTGTCGCATAACAAAACATATATTAATTATATGTTAAACACGCATATTTTTTTTATATATTTCATGTGTGTAATTGATTTGCTCATAACTATTAAAAATAAGAAAACATGATAGAAATCATATTTTAATTAATGATATTATTTTGTTAATATAATGAAGCACTTTAACAATTTAGATTCTATCTTAATATTTATATTAGAGGGTAGACGTACATAAAATTAGTAAAAAGTATAAAAACGCTATTAATTTTAAGTCATTTATTTCAAATGTAGTGGAATTTAGAATTAGGCGAAGAATTTACGTTGCAACACGTGATTTTTCGGATAACAATTTTGCAAGATATTATAATGTAATTAAAGTATTTCAACTTGCACTTTTATTTTTTTGACAATGTTTCAATATTGTAAAAATTTTTTAAGAATAAATATTTTTTATAAATTCACGCAATAAAATAGACAAGTTCCAAAAATATGCGATTTTGAGGTTAATTTGCAATAATATTTTATCGTAATCAAGTATATTAACAAAAAATGATAAATATATTTTGAAAATATCTTTTATAGAATTTGAAAATTTCATGCATTTTAAATTAAATAAAAAGCGAATTACCTGCGATTAATATCGATCCAAATTTGGATGAAGAACCACACGTGTTGCTCACTCGTCACGAGCACAAAAGAAAAGGAAGAAACCGGCGCCGCACCGGCAATATTGGCAATTACGTATCGAACATGGTGTTGCATACACATATCCGCCAATAAATAAATTCGCGTATTCTAAAGTATATTCTTGACATATACAAGAAAATACGAGAAATAATATATTGTAAAATATGTCAACAGTATATTCCAAGAATATGTATAAAAGTATATTTTGAGAATATACGTAAAAGTATATTCTGAAAATATACGATATATATACGAGAAATAATATACTATAAAAGATGTTTACAGTATATTCTAAGAATATATATAAAAGTATATTTTGAGAATATACGTAAAAGTATATTCTGAGAATATACGATATATATACAAGAAATCATATACTATTAAAGATGTTTACAGTATATTCTAAGAATATATATAAAAGTATATTTTGAGAATATACGTAAAAGTATATTCTGAGAATATACGATATATATACAAGAAATAATATACTATAAAAGATGTTTACAGTATATTCTAAGAATATATATAAAAGTATATTTTGAGAATATACGTAAAAGTATATTCTGAGAATATACTGAAAAATAATATACTACAAAAGATATTCTGAAAACATCCTGAAAATATACGGAAAATAATATACTACAAGAGATATTATAAAGATATTCTCAGTATATTATATACTGTACGTACATTCATAGTATGAATATAGAATATTCGTATAATATCATGTGCTGTCTGGGATATATATATATATATATATATATATATAACCAAACAATAAAATAAATAGGTCAACTTTCGAGCCAAATAATTACAAAATTAAATAATTCTTTATTACAACATATGCAAATAATACATAAAACTTAAAATTTTATTATAAAAAATAAAATAAAAATATGTAATAATACACCTGATACAACACTTTAAGAAACATTATATAACGTGTAAACGTTTCGACAGTACAACTGTCTTTTTCAGTACAAAAAATCCTCCGAAATAATAAAGAAACTGAATTTAAACAATCTTTACATAATTAGCTTGTTCGAAAGAACGATTCTATATTTACAAGTTTGAAATTGACTGAATATAAGTTTTTTAAAAAACATCCATCTAACGCAATATGATACAAACATCATTATGGTAACAATTATATTAAACTACGACGCTGATAATTTTAATTTTATTGCTGGTAAACGTATAAAAGCAGAAAATCAGATTTCTTAAGCTGTTACATTTTTTCCATATGTCTAAAATATTGTGGTCCGAGATTTCGTCAGAGTATATATATATATAGGGTGTCCGGTAACTTGCGCTCCACCCGTTAGTTGCAGGTAGAACAGCCCTGGTTAAATCTATAGAAAAGTTCCTTATCATTTTTCGAAATTCGCAATAATTAATGAGAAATTGATCAAAAGATCGGCCAATTCGCGCGTCTTACAAGCTTTTTACAAGGATTTTTTTATATAATATTATAATATATATATAATATTAACCCAAGTTCTAGCTTTCCCTCTCTCTTCCCCTAAAATAAAATTCTAAATATGTCACTGCATCAAGAATGATTAAACTTTCAATTGTTGTTTGCCAACGAAATTTTGATTTTAGATAGTAAACATACGTCATTTTGACGTTTAATGACGTCAATCTGCATTATTTACCATCAATTGACTTACCCTTAATCTAATCTAACCAACTATGTGATCGTTTTCTTTCTTCAGTTCATCAGACTTTTATTTTTTCTTTAAAAAAGCTTGGTTGTAGCATATATTAATAATTGAATATATCAGCTTCTCTATTATTTTGAGAACGTAGAAAAGATGAACGCTTTGTTGAGGTCATTGCACCGGTTAATTACTAACAAAATATCCATTCTCCGAGCTTTCGGCAGATTGTTTACAAAATTGCTTGGCGATTTTTCGTTACACATGTAAAATGCAGCTCTGAACGACCTTTTCAGGCAACAAAATCAAGTCCGGCGAAAGTTTTGTTCTCCGAAAGATCTAAGCAGAAGCTGGACTTAGCTAGAAGATTAATCAAACCCGAACTGAACGTTGATGAGAACAACTTTGTCCCTCATTCCGGTAAATCGCAAGTGAAAGAAATTTCCACGGTCAAGGAAGAAGAAATGTAGAAAAGACGACAAAAGCGACCAGCAAACTCAATGTATCACCTGAAAGTGCAGTAATTGCAAATACGCAGAAAGAAAAATCTATTACAAGAGGCAGATGGAAAATCTTGGAGGCTGGAAAATCCTTGAAAGATCGAAATAACGAAATTTTATTTAGATCCACAATTAAAAAAAATCGGATATCCTCGGATAAAGCAATATCTTTGTCCATGGAAGAAACATCAACGAGCAGCATCAGTAAATTCAATCCTCCACCACGTAGAATTCCACTTCGCAGTACCATATCCGTGAAGAAAACTACTACCACGACCTTTGATATGACAAAAGTTCAATCCTCAAAGTCGCAAAGTATCCCGACGGCGCGAGAAGAAACGTCAACGTCGACAAATATGATGGAGGCTAGTGACGAGAACAATATTGTTATCACTACTGAACCATTAACGTTAGATAAAACATCTATTATTGAAAGAATTAAGTTAGATAAACTAGAACGTGATACTGATGACGTACGAAAGGAATCTGCCACAACATTGAGCACCATGTCGATTACAGACGCGTCGATGGACTCTATGAAAGCTCACACTACAGAATTTGTTCACGAGGTAACATTGTCACCGACAATCACCACATCGAGTAGTGTACACTCGACGGAATTGTCGAAGAACTTATATCCTGTTTATATTCCTGATGCGAAGAAATATGACTCGTCGGAAGGCAAGGTTGGGGCAAAGTTTGCGAATAAGGGTGTTTTCCAGCCTCGTTACACAAAGCAACGAGACTCGGACAAAGTGACGGTTTCTATGGTGACGTCAATGACCGTCGGACCTACTAGCAGATACATAAGGAAGAAATCGGGCGATTTCACGCCTTACGACACCGTTCCCAAATTAACCAGCACAGAGGCAACATCTACGCAGACGAAGCGCAAGGAGTTCCGTCCGCGAACGGCGACTTACAGGAGACATTCCGAAGTACCAACTAGCCAACTGACGACTCAATCATCAACTAAGGCGAATCAAGAAACGACTGTCTTTTCTGGCAATACGTCGCCGATAACTGAGAGTAGCATTAGCAACAGTAGCGAATCCAATGTCTTCAATCCCACTAAAAGCGCGTTTCTCAGCAGTAATACCAACACACTGTTGGAGCAACTACGAAGTACTGTGGCACCGCTCTTGAACAACCTAAGTAACAGAACCCCCATTTTCTCCGGATCTTATTCCAATGTAAATATCGGGGTGAGTTTCATAAGTTTTAGCAAATCAGCCGATCATGTTCAATATATATCCCAGACAGCACCATGTCCAAAATTGGGATTTAAATATATTTTTAAGAAATTTTTAAGATATTTTTAAGAAATCTTTATATCTTTATAAGATAGCTTATGATATGATAATTAAAAGATATTAAGATGTTTTAAAGATGTCTTATATCCCGATTTTAGACATATATGTTTCGATTTTGGTGCAGTTTGGGATATTTCAAGATACTATGTATATATAATACACTACTTACATGTAAACAGATACACTACATATAAATATGTACGAGAGTCATCCAATAAGTAAAGAGACCTATTGGCTGTTGTTTTAATACGGTTTATTCAATGAATCTAATAATTTATCTACAATAATTTATCGGCTACAATTATAGTCTTATAGTCACTTGTCCCATTACTTTATTAGTTTTTTATATCAGCAGCAAAGAATTCTTTGTTTTATCTAACAATAAATCAGTTTTAAATGTTTTTATTTCTTTGTTGCTGAAACTTGATTCCTTAAAGAAACTCAATAAAAAGAAGTCTGATGGGACAAAGTCTGGAGTATGAAATCGAATCTTCCTCGACCTAATTTTTCTTTTTCAGTCACTTTTGAACTGATCGACCCAATTATAAAAATTCGCATGATTTTATACAACTTTTATGTATTACTTGAGCATTTGAATAAATTTCAGATGGTTTTATATCTTCAGAAACTCCTGAAATTGTATCACTAAACGCTTCTTCAACAGTAAACTTATTGAGAGAACTTATTTTGTTATTGTTATTGTTGAATAAATTATAGACGTTTTATAATAGTTATTAAACAGCTATATTTCAAATTGATAATAGAAATGCCAATTTATGATTTTGAAAGTATCGTATTTCTTATTTAAAAACTTTTGGAACTAAATGAGTTCCAAAAACTCTTTATACTTATTGAATTTGATCCTTGTGAATTATTAGATAAAAATAATTTTAATAAAAGTTAACATGGAGAAATATAAGGTTAGCATAAAAGTATAATATATAAGGGCTAATAATAAAAACTGCGTCAATTTCGTGCAGGTTTTAGTAAAGAATTATCATATTTTTTGTATGTAAACAGAATTCCGCTCCTAGGATAACGCCGAACGGTTCTCCACCGAGATTCAGCGCAAGATACAAAGGAGCGGAATTATTTGTGAGAAAACCGTCCACTAATCAAGTTGTAATACCATCGATCACAACATCATCGACTACAGCTTCGACACCAATAGAGGTAAGACATTTAAGGGTTTTGGATAGAATCTTATAATGAAATATTGATATCTTATAATGGCGATTTAAGCTTTTTTTATTTTTTTTTGTTTTAATATTGTATAGGTAATTACTTTTTGATTACAATTAATATTACTCAGGTAGCAAGTTGTACGTCATTTTAAGGTCTAATTAAATCATTCGACGTCAAAATGACGTATGCTTGCTATCTATAGGTGTATATATACATGATCGAATAATAAATTAATTTATGAAAGATATATACTTTATAAAAAATTTATTTAAACAATTTTTTTTACTTTTTTATACAAATAATAACATTGATATTTACCTATACTTTAATTACTGATTAAATTTTATAATTAATTTAGCATTATTATTTTAAGGCAAAAGTAAAATGTTTATACTTTATACTTTATATGCGTTTTTTTATATATACGTATGTGTATATTTCCTATTATGCCATTCTATGTGAGATATACTTTTTCACATATAGTTTAAAATAATAGGTCCTAGTAAAAATCATGATAAAAAATGACGGAAAGGCGCAGGTAAGGCGATATACTCGATGTTCATGGTTCCTTCAGAAGAAGTTATGTGAGGTAATTTTTTGTGCTTAAAAGGTTTTCCCTACGAAGGTACCAGAGGGTTTTGAAGCGATTGCACCGCCATCGTGGACCAATTCAATCGCCACAACTTCATCAAGCAATTTAATTTTTAATTATATCCATGCAAAAAGATTATATTTTTGATTATTCTTTATCATAATGAGAGATAGATTTAATTGTCTCGTTCATGTGCTTTTCTTAGGTAAAGATGTACGGATCTCCTTTTTATATAATCTTCATAACTTCAATGACCTTGAAATATCTTGTCAAAGTCATGACCCTAAATAACTTCTAAAAAATTTTAGTTGGTTGTTTTATATGAAATAAATCTTCTATATTAAGTATATAATATATATATGAAGAAATTAATAAATATATCTTATTGATATTTACACAATGTTAGCGTCAACAGCCAAATAAGTAGCAAACTGACGTCACTAAACATCAAAATGACATACGTTTGTTACCTGGGAGGATAAACACGATAAAAAGTAAATCTCGGGTGTTCATTGTAAATAGTAATACTTTTATAAACTATATATCTATATCAAATATAAAATTTTTTATTATTAATCTACTTTTAGAAGTTTTCTCTAAATAAAATTTTAATTGTTAATAATTTTTTAATAAATATTGATGCCTAAAACTTTTTAAAGAATATAAATTTGAATCGTAAGAAGGCGTGAAGAGCTAAACGCGGATATTACTATAGAAACAAATCGTGCATAAGGCACATATTACTCTTGGTGTACTAATCAAGACTTTGAAAATTGAAATAATCTCTTACTTGAGATTTTATTTCAAAAACTCCTTGACCCCTTTATCGAAATAAATAATTAAATGCGAGAGAAAAATATAGATCCAAAAGTCGCTGAATCGGGAATCTTTTTAAAGAAATTATTCAGAGTCATAACCTTGACAACATATATCAAGGTCAAGAGTCATTGAGAGAGTCCATATATCTACATCTTTATCTCATGTTACAATAATTTTAATTTCATCATCATTGACTACATATATATTCACTTGTAAATATAATCGCACTATTGCTTCAAAAGAGCACATAAATATAATTTTATTGCACGATTTATTGAGAATAAAATTGATTTTTAATGTCATTAAATGACGTTTTAATACTCAGGAGAACAATTTATCTCAGAAAAAAGATGATTTATCAACTATGATAAAAAAATATTATTGTATTACACGTGCAGGCAAAGTGGCACTTTGTGTGCATGTTTTCTGTGCGAAAAGCGGCCGATTTTCCACGTCGCTATCTAGCGGCGACGCGGTGAGTGAATAAGTCGCGTTCAAAGCCATTGCCTACGGCTTCAGCCGTGGACAATGACTTTGAACACGGCTAATCCCGCACCGTGCCGCCGCAAGATGGCGGCGTGCGATCGGCCACCTCGCGCACAGAAAATGCGTACAAAGCCACTTTGCCTGCACTTGTAATACAAAATAGTATGTGTATCACGTGCAGAAAGTTGACAATTGTTCATTCGTGTGGGGTGGTCGCACGAGCCGAAGGCGAGTGCGTCCTTCCCCCGCACTCGTGACCAATTGTCAACTTTCCGCACATGATACACAATATACTATTGCACATCGAAAATAATCCGCCATATTATGCCATAACACACTCATCACAATATTACTATAAACTTACATTATGCCATAAATTTACTTATATGCAAAAATATATTGCATATTATACACAATTTTATATACTTAATATATATTTTTTGTAATAAATGATTTAATTTTAGCATTGCACGATTGATAGTTTATTCTTATTTAGCCAAGTTAAAATTAAAATAAATTTATAAACAATGAGAATATTACTTATGAACATTATTATAACTGTAAATAAAGTAAGCAGATTCGTAATTGATAAATATAATAAGTTTTTTTTATAAATAACATGCTAAAATAGATGATTTAAATAAAGAATAAATAAATAAATAAAGACGAATAATATATATACCTATGTCATCCTCATGGAGAAACTTCTTTTTAATCACTTCTATAGTGTTCTATAGATAATCCGAAAAATATTATTAGGTCCTTGAATAAGTTCTCGCTGTTTTTTTTTGTTAAAAAGAAACATTTATTTAAAATATAAGGCTTACAATAACTTTACTCAAAGTATTGTCCATCATTAGAGACCACACAGCAATGCCTCCAATTCTTTGTCTTCAAACTTTGTCGGTGCTCCAGAACGTTCTTTATCTTCAAGGTCAAAGTCATTATTTTTAAAGCGCCTAAACCAGTCTCTGCATGTCGTATTCGACAGAGCATTGTCACCATATGTTTCAACAAGAATTCTGTGTGCTTCAGCTGCAGATTTCTTTTGAATAAAGCAGTGCAATAAAATTCCCCGCAAAAACACTTTATTTGGCACAAAAGTAGACATTTTCGCAATAGGTAATTAAACACGTGGTTGACACTGTGGTAAACTGTATCTACTAGAATTTGAGGTTACATATAGTACTACTTAGCTGATGCGTTTCCGTACGAAATTCCATGCACAGAGTGCCGCTACGCCATCTTTTAAGAAACAGCGAGAACTTATTCAAGGACCTTATATATATATACAGGGGGTAGACAATAGTATATTGTGTATCAAGTGCGGATTGACAATTGTTCACTCATGTGGGGTGGTCGCACTCGCCTTCGGCTCGTGCGTCCATCCCTCGCACTCGTGACCAATTGTCAACTTTCCGCACTTGATACACATACTATTTTGTATTGCAAGTGCAGGCAAAGTGGCTGTTTCGGCGCGTTTTCTGTGCGCGAGGCGGCCGATCGCACGCCGCCATCTTGCCGCGGCACGGTGGGGGAATAGCCGGTTCAATACATTTCCTACGGCTTGAGCCGTATACAATGACTTTTAACGCGGCTCAGCCGTAGATAATGGCTTTGAAACCGACTTATTCACTCACCGTGTCGCCGCTAGATGGCGGCGGGGGAAATCGGCTGCTTTCGGCACAGAAAACATGCACCGAAAGTGCCACATTGCCTGCACGTGTAATACAAAATAATGTGAACACTTGTGAAAGAGGGGTATTTATATTTGTTTGTTAATAAGATGGGCTATCATTTGCTTTTTTTCTAATTGGAATGTTGTCTCATTCTTGTATCTGCTAATTGCTTTGTTGAAGGAGGAAATATGTTTCTCACTTTTTCAAAATTGCCTACTGTCCGATGATATTAAGCTATTAAGATGTTTAAATATTTTCGCTGGCCAGCACAATTACCAAATTTGAATATCATTGAGCCAATTAAACGTTTTTTCAATCTCTTCTCCAAACTGCTTATAGTGGTTCAATGATAATTGGGTTTGGTAATTATGCTGGCCAGGGAGAGTGTTTGGGCATTTTAATGGCTTAATATCATCGAACTGTGAACAGTTTTGAAGAAGATTGAGAAGCGTATTTCCTCCTTCAACATCTATCTCTACGGCAATTGGCGGATGGAAGAACGAGATAACATTGGAAAGGGGGCAAATGGTGGCCCAACACTGGAAAAGGGGCAAATGGTGGCCCAACATTTAATTAATGTACATATATTAATACCTCTCTTTTACAGATGTTCACATTATTTTGTCTATCCCCTGTATATGTATATAATGCAATAATAATATAATAATATATATAATACGATAACTTCCATAATATAATAATAATAGCGAAAATGCATCAGTAGAGCTTTGTAGACTCATAAAAGATAAAGGGCAACATCTCGAAAATAGTGTATGTTTATAACGGACATATTCGTGTTGAATTAAACACAATTTTTTATTAAATAATAGCTTATATAATATACTTAATGGAAAAAAAGGAGCAGGAAAGCTAGAAATGGCATAAGAATGTATCACTATATTACTTGGCTGCCATTGTTGTATTAATTAGAAGCACAGCTTTTTTGTAAATAGAATAACCAAAACGTATTGACTCTTAAATGCAAACTATTATCGCTGTCTATGCTTTAATCTATTTTTTAATTTAAACTAAATTTTACTCTACGAGAAAAAGTGTAAGCGATGCGATTAAGAGTCAAAACGTTATTCTTGACATGTAGATTGTACATGCGGTATATTAAATAATATTTTTCTCGAAACCAATTTACTACACCATAAATTGCACCCAAAGTGTGTACAGCACTTGCACGCACCGAATTTCTGATTGCAGAATACTGGCTTGGCGCCTTCTGTTCAAATCAACAACCCCGGCGAGCCCAGATTCATCACTTTTTATCAAGCAATAGAGTCAGCTAGCATAAGAAACGAAAATCTGGGCGGGAATGATGTGTCCCAGCAGCAAAAACTAACTGGCGAGGTGACGAAGGTAGACTCTAACGCTACTGTACCTAACGGCATCAGTAATGATACTGCTAACAACAATGATAGTCCAATATCCGCATCTATCGCAACTACATCCTTCTCAGATATTATTACTACCGTAGACATTACCACCGCTGTTCAATCGGCAGACCTTTCACTTGCCTCGAGATTAGCTACGGAGATTGTCCCCGACACTACCCCGAAAATCACCTCGACGACGTCCCGAATCCCTGCAAATTCAGAAACGAGCGAGCAGAATACTACAGCACCCATTATGGGACCATCTGGAACTAACATCTCCGATAATACACCGGCCAGCCCCAATATTTCAAGCACATTAATGTTACCTAACGTTAGCACGACCAAAATGACCACGATCGAAACGTCGACGAACGTCGATGTAACTCTGGAAATGTTATCTTCCACGAAATCTACTTCCGATAACATTCGATCCACTGAATCGATGGATAAATCTATGGAGATAACGTCATCAACAACTGTTGAAATGACGCCCACTTCTCTGAACTTACAAATGTCAACTAATACATCAAACACAACACCCTTTTCAATCACCGAAAACATAATATCACCGGAAACAACGACTATGTCCATGATGAACGATATATCTGAAAATATCGAGATGAACACTGTGCAACACAATGGAACAACGGAGATGAAGAATATAGTTGAAAATGTAGAAATGAACACAATAGGACAATTCGATATGACAGTTCCGTCTCAAATGATGGAAACTACGAGTGCTACCGAGCCCACTACGACGGAAGAAATGTCCAACAACATAATTGAGATGCAAATGACGGAAGCACCTGTTGACATTTCTACATTTCGCACACAATTCATCGATATTGCACAAAACATTTTATCCCAATTGCAAAGCAATTTCTCCACAAGTGAGACATTTATTCAAAAGCCCACTACTACGACTATGCCCTCCAAACTATCCACGACAATATCGGAAACAACGACAAACGGACCAGGGCAAGAAATGAACATCCAAAGCTATCAATCTAACGATCAGAAAATAAACGCATCAGATATGGCTAACTCAAGTATCATTGAGAATACAGGAGATTCATCAATAACTACAGAAATGGCGATTGTCTCGCGACTTGCCAATATTATTATGAAGAACGACTCAAGGTCGTCCAATGATACGTTGCTCACTGAGCTAATGACTATTGCTAAGACTCTCTTTTCGGAAGAAATGAATGAATCGTCACTCATGCCAGATCAGATTTTTAATGTTGACACGACTGTCAATCCTGACATAACAAGTAACTTTATTCAAACTGACGGTATAATGGAAAACAATTATAAAAATCAACTCATGTTTTTGAACGAGACGTCAGAAACCATCGATGTGTCTTCTATCGAACTGTCGACCACTGTAGAAAACATTTCCGAGCGTATAGATGCCGTGACAATTAGAAACGAAACAGAAGAAAGTCCTACTCTAGGATCGGAAATTTCGTTAATGGAACTTAACCCTGCACAATCCACTGATATCCAAAATTCAATTGATGTAGGTGATATTATTACAACATTTTAAGCCTTTCTTTTTTCAGACAAAATCGAAAGACGTCAAACATAATACTGTCAATCAGCATGAGCTCTGAATTAACTACTAACGTGTTCGATTCACAATCATCCAATACTATTCAACCGTTTGATAATGAAACCAAATCTACGACTTTGGCCATTGATTTTTTGCAACGGAATCAATTTTACAACTGTTCCAAATATTAATGTTGAATTGTTAGATCGCTCATCGGAATTTATGTGACTATACTAATAACTCCTGCTCTTACAATAAAATTAACCACTGGTATAGTTATTACGGAGATGAACATTGCGCGAACGAAGGCAGACCAAAATCTATTGCGATAGAGTTTGCATCTAAATTACAAATTACGAAAAATTTCTTGCAACAATTATATCGGATATCATTATATAGTGTTGTTAATGATATTTGATGACAACGCGATTTAATATGAATAATTCTTAATTTAATTTATTGCGGAATTAATTCCTAATTCAGTAGTAAGTTATATCAGTATCAGCTTTACTAACCAACGACGTAACAACAAACGTTTCCAAACACTAACTGATCTCGTAAATGAAATGTCAAATCTTATTGCACGTTTCCAGGATACAACAGCAATAACAATCACCCAAGGGACGGCGGTTGGCTCAAGAATAATCCAATCCGAGCAACCAACCGAAACTACCACTACTATATCTTTCGAATCACCCACGGTCGACACCACGACCATCTTATTCTCATCAATTGAACCGACTACGAACACTTCGACAACGACGTCGACCTCGACGACGACAACGACGACGACGACGACGACGGAGACTTCACAAACGACATCAATGGAATCATCTTCGCGAGCCGACCTAACTACCACTGCTGGGTCAATGCTCGAGACGACATCTTCAACTATCGACATTAACGAAAACCTTATTTCTACCGAGACGACAACCATCGATGCTCGAGACACAATGATTGCTTCCGTCGAATCAGAGAAAATGATGACCTCGTCATCACCTATCATGAATACAACAACTATGTCACCTACCACACAGATCATTACGCCAGATCGAATGACGCCAAGTCCGGCGGTCACATCTTTCGGCACCTTACCTCAGAGGCCTTATCTGGGATCCTTTGGTGGCAATCAAGCGATGGCTACGACCTCGAGATTTGGTTCTTCCAACAAAGCGCCCGTCCGCGACTATCAGATTTATGGTATTTATCCCAACAAGACCATCGTGCGGAAGCGACCGGAGGACAATTTGATCGACGCCAGGAACATAAACAGTCCGTATGTGATATTTGGCATCTTTCCGGATGGCAGACTGGTTCGCAAATTTCCCAACGGAACAATAATACCGGATTCACCTAGGAACCCGGTTGAGGTTGTGTTTACGCTTAGCACTACCACTACTACTAACCGACCAGCATTCGGCTCGTTTTATAACCAGGTTAACCAAGCGGGCACTTATAACCAAATCACTCAATCTCCGGTGTACTATAGTGACCCGAGATATCATAGTAGACCCGCGGACAAGCTGACGGGAGATGTCCAGAGTCCCAGCCCTGTCGATTTTGGACTTACCCGTAATACAATCGGCGTTCCCTCTGGAGTCGACCTGAAATTCGCGACGTCGTTTGGTCTCCCTGCTAGCGCTCCGTGCGCAAACAAAATGGTACTTTTATCTGATCTCTTTATCAAAATGGTACATTATTCAAAGAACAAATTTAATTAAGGAGATATTGATTGGGTTTGTTTTATTGACAAATATTATTTTCATTTAACTCTTTATTAGTTATACAGAAGAAAAATCCTTTAGAATTAAAGTATTCATAATAACAAATCTAGGTTAATATATGTGTAAATAAATAGAAACCAAAAAAATTAAATAATTACGGTTTTCTTATCGTTTAAGTTAGGTTGACCCAATGCAAAAGACTGATAAAAAAAACTGTAATTATTTAACTTTTTTGTCTTTCTTATATTCATTATGTAGTAGCCTAGATTTATTATGAATACTTTAATTCTAGTAAAGGATTTTTCATTCTGTAGTTAATAAAGACTTAAATTAAAATAATATTTATCGATAAAACAAACTTAGTCAGCATCCCTTTAAGGGGATCCTAAAGCCGTTCTGTTTTACTGGCTAAATGATAATTTTTATGTATGCTTTTCTTTTTATTGGTTGAATAAAATAATAAACGCTTCTCCACGTTTGAAGTGAAACAATATAAAAACAAAGCGCGAACTTACCGACTTTATGTTAAAAACAAAAAGAATTTTATAAATTAAATTTTTTTAAATTTTTAACATAAAATCGGTAGATTCATGCGTTGTTTCTATATATATTTTAATCATAAAAAAGCATTTAATATTTTATTTAACAAATCAAAAGAAAAGGGTACGCAAAAATGTTTTCTCGATAAAGGCTTAATTTACACCAATATACTTTGATACACGTATTAAGTACTAATGATCAATTATAGTCATATTCTATTCTTTAGAAGAATGGCTGTGATTCGTCAGTACGGCGTTTGATACGTGTACTAAATAATCGGTGTAAACTAGGCCAAAACAGGACGGTGTTTAGAATCACCTTAAGAGTCTTTGGCCGGGTCACAGATTAATAGACAGATAGCCAAAGGCCTGTCTAAAAAGGAAACCGTCATTTTCGTGTGACTTTGCCCCTTACCGACACACTTTGCCCCTAGTTCGAGTTCAGGCTAATAAAATCCTTTGGTTTTTTAAAAAAAACTTTGCCCCTGGTGCGAGTTCAGGCTAAAATCTTTTGATTTTACATGTATACTCAAAGGATTTTAGCCTGAACTCACACCAGAGACAAAGTTTTTTGGTAAAATCAAAAGATTTTATTAGCTTGGATTCGAACCAGGGGCAAAGTGTGTCGGTAAGGGGCAAAGTCGTACGAAAATGACGGTTTCCTTTTTAGACAGGCCTTTGGCTATCTGTCTATTAATCTGTGACCCAGCCAAAGACTCTTAAGGTGATCCTAAACACCGTCCTGTTTTGGCCTAGTTTACACTGATTATTTAGTACACGTATCAAACGCCGTACTGACGAATCACAGCCATTCTTCTAAAGAATAGAATATGATTATAATTGATCATTAGTACTTAATACGTGTATCAAAGTATATTGGTGTAAATTAGGCCTTTATCGAGAAAACATTTTTGCGTACCCTTTTCTTTTGATTTGTTAAATAAAATATTAAATGTTTTTCCATGATTAAAGCATATATAGAAACAATGCATGAATCTACCGATTTTATGTTAAAAATTAAAAAAAAATTAATTTATAAAATTCTTTTTGTTTTTAACATAAAATCGGTAAGTTCGCGATTTGTTTTTATATTGTTTTACTTCAATCGTGGAGAAGCGTTTATTATTATATATGGCCGGGTCTACAATAGGTGTAGTAGCTCTAAGCCTTAAGAAATTGATCAATCACCGTTGATTATTCCCCTCATTCTTGATTGTGATTGGTGAATTTCTTAAAGCTTAGAGTTTACTACACCTGTTGTAGATCCAGCCTTAAGACGATCTTAAATATAAGATCGAACTATGAATACGGGCCTTTATCTCTCTCTCGGTGAAGAAATGGAGAAACCTTTACTTGTGCACAGTACAATTATCCACGTTGCAACTGCTCACATTGCTATTGGATACATAAGATTGCGCACATTCCTTCCACGTCTATACACACGCGCGCGCTCGCGCACGCACGCGTGCACACACACACACACACACACACAAAGGAGTGAGTGCAAAAGGGGTGCTTCTTCTCCTCTCCCGCACCCACTTCGTCGGGTAGCATACGTGGAAGGAGTGTGCACAAAAGAACTGTGCGTAATCTTATGTGTCCAATTGCATTATGGGCAATTGCAACGTGGGTAATTGTATTGTGCGCAACTGAGCCTCTCCCAGAGAAATGATTACTTTCGTGGCGGGATTTTTAAAGATCTTCAAAAATATTATTGCTGCGCATGAACATATTAATAAATAAGTAGCTTTATCGTTATAACGAAAGTTATTATATCAAGAGAACAAGAGTCGCGTAGTTGCAAATATTTTATTGTTACGTAATCGGATAATTATCGTCATTTTATATTACATTCTAACGTTAATAAATATCGTATAATTTTATTAAATTAAATTAAAATTATGTTAAATGCAATAAATACGATTAAGAATCAAATTATATAAACATATATGATTTAACGATATGTATAATGACTAATATTTAGTTCTAATTTATTTTGGTTTTATTAAATATAAGATATAGTGAAGTTTTATAACACACTGCATATTTTTATATAATATTATTGCTAGTTTAACAATATTCAGTTTTTTTAGTAAAATACTTTTTAACTTATTTTTGTAGTTTTTTATAACAGATTTTCTTATATAATATGCTTTACAATATGTACATATATATCTAGTATCATTTTAATAAAATGCAATTTAATATTTTCCAGGTCAAAAATATCGAAAGATTCTACAGTGCTGTACACAAATTATCATTGTGAATTTGTAAATAATTGTCATATATTTTCAGCACTTATGTTTATTTTTACTTGCACTTTTGCTTTTTTTACGTATTATATCTTTTACGTGTGTTATATCTTTTTTCTGTTATATATAATATATGCAATATTGTATACCTAATTACATGTTTTATATTCATATTATAAATATTCGATTGGATTTTAATGTACTAAAAATATTTTATAAAAATTTTCTATGACAGGTTTTGCGAATCAAAATAAATTCATATTACATTCACAAATCTACAAAAAGGAACTTTTTTTATTATTTTTTTAGCAGACTTAATATATTTTCAAAAAGTTATAAAAACTATACTTATAAATTTTTATATTTTATAATATAGTAAATTACTCATAATTGCAAACATTTCTAATATGCGAATTAATTATATTAACAAATTCAATCTGATTATTTCTAAATAAATTTATTAGACAAAAATATATTGTATTTTTAAAAGATACTTTTCAAAATATATTGTAAATTTTTATCATTTATATAAATAATAAGAAAATGTCTCATATTTATGTAAATACATATATATTTAAAAAAATAAAAAATTTTATCATGATAAAAATTGAAGGATAAAATAATTTAAATTAAAAATTAAATTAAAAAATAATTAATTTTCTTGCGTATTTATTACGGTTACTTCTTGGCAAAATTATTAAATGTGTGATGTAAAATTTTTCAGAGCGATATTTTATTAAGCCTCCAAAAGCTGCCAAATGTAGCCTCAAGATTCGGTAAACTGCAAAGTCCAGACGGCTCTTCTATCATCCCGGATCGCGAAACTAGTGAAGCTTCTCGAACAAAAATAACATCTGATCAACGCAGTGCTGTATATATCGGACAGGTATAAGAAACGAAATATATTACTGAATTATATACAGGAAGTGCGATAAGTTCCGTAACGGGATCTAATATTTCAGAAAGGAAGCATCTTAAAAATGTTTTAGAAAAATTGTAGTGTTTAAAAGGACCTATTCAGCGGTGTAAACAATTTGACCTTAGATTACATTGCCAATGTCTTATCAATATCATTTTGAATTTTTTAAATGGAAAAAAATATTTTGTGCAACAGGTGCGCAGAAAGTTGCCCTTTCCGCACATGATGGGATTTTAGAAAGGTTCTCTTTCTACGCACCGGTCACACAATAGTATATTGGCTAACAAGTGCGGGAAATCGTAAATCGGCCGAGAGTGCGGAAGTTTGGCGTACTCTCGGCCGATTTACAATTTCCCGCACTTGTTAGCCAATATACTATTTTGTTGATTTTTCGCGCATTCTATATATGCTGTGATTAAATATGTAACAATGGAAAATATTTTGAATGTAATAATGAATATTTCAGGATAAATTTATCAATTATCAGATCGACGGTGCACCTGAGGTCAATCCAAAAGTGATTGATGTGAAGATAAATTCAGTAGCTGTAAGTAATTGCATGAAATATCATAGAATTTAATATGATAATTTCTCAATGAAAAATTTTGATTATCAAATTTAGAATTTTGTCATCAAATTTCATGGAATATTTTTATTAATAAACCTGCTTCCTGTTTGTTATAAATGTCACTTGAATTTTTCTCATTGTCTATGCTAATAATAAAATGATTTATTTTGCGCGTTTTGTAAATATAATTTATTACTAAAATATATCAAAATATGTTTCCTTTCAAGTTTTATAAATATTTTTTAATAATAAAACATATAATACTAAACAACAATACAATGATAAAATAAAATATTAAAATATATCAAATATAAATAATAATAATAATATTAATTTATTTTAGCTGTGCATAATTCTTAAAATTTATAATTGTCATTAATTATTATTATAATGATTAATTATTATTTAATTTTACTAGACTTCTCTGAATGAAGGTACAGCATCTACAGCGATCCCATCTTTTGAAAGTTTACTGAACCAGTCGGGTGATGGTGTAAAGACAACATCTCCTGATTTTCCTTGGAAAGATCCTCTCGATCAGATATTCGGGATCACTACCAATTCACCGATACAAACAGCATCAGTGGCATCGAACCAATTGGTGCGTCTTTATAATATAATTATTGAATTATTCTCTTATAGAATAAAATTAATGCTGTTAAGAAATAATAATGTATAATAATATTAAAGAAGCAATTTTGAATAATTAAATTCTTAAAATTTTTACATTTGTAAAACAGAGTTAAAATAATAAGATATATATTAACTTGAAGTATCCATTAAACTGACATCAACACTGATTTTATTGCTTTAATATATTAGATTGATTTTAGATTTTACAGGGTAACTTTGCGTTGCTTATTCCAAATATGGCATTAATTTTGTTATATTGGCTTTAGTTTTTAAGATCATAAATGCCCTAAAATATAAAAAAATAAAAAAAAAAATGCAAAATATAATAATCAGGCGTAGTAAAAAATCTAGCTACCCATTATCTCAAAAATTAAAACCAATTCAGCAAAATACTTGTCATTTTTTTGGATTTGGCATCCACAAAATATCCTAAATTCGTTCAAACATTCTTGGGCAACTAAATAAAAATTTCTTTTTTTTATTGATCAGTTATACATACATACATATATATATATACAGAGTGTATCAAAAATATGGGTACCTCTGAATATCTCGTGAGGATGACGTTTTTAAAAAAAGTTAAATACAAAAGTTTGGGGTTTGACCGTGTGCACCTGATGGTGTCCTTAAACTTGACCTTCAAGGGGTCAAATCAAGATCAACTTGATTTTTTTTAATGGGACTATTTATTTTTGATAACGTGAAATTTTTCGCTCTTTCCATTTCTGTCCATGTAGCACAGATCATTGTAATTACATTGCAGCAATGTTTCACTCTTGCAAGTTACAATGTAACATTTTAGAGACATTACAGAAACATGTAAATGTAATATTTCATAAGAATGTTGCAGCAACATTCCAGAAAGATTATAAAAAATGTTATTTAATAATCGCTAGTTCCTTCCTTTATCTACCGCTAGTTCCTTTTTTTATCTATCGCTATGCGGCGCGCGATCCTCTATCTATCCCATACTTTTTAGTTACAATTTACATCTTTACATCAGTTTAATTTTTTGAACTTGATCCCAACACAGGAAATTCATACATGTTAAAATACATACTAAACTGATTCCTCAGAAATCAGATAAATATTCGATGAAGTCGAAGGAATGAAAATCTGTTTATTGTACTTCACATATTTATTTTAAAAACAAAATTTTTAATTTTATAAAGTAAATTATTTAGTCTGCAACTTTTACTATTCATTATTATAAAAATTACATTACAATGTTACTGTAATCCCTAACAGCACACATATCCCGAAGACGTTCAGAGATCCTGAGGATGTTTAAATGTTCTCTGAATATCCTCTGAATATCTTTCGAATATGTTGTACTATTAGGAATGTTTCATTGCAATATTACAAAAAGCGGCCATCTAGTCGTTGCAGCAATCTTGCAGCAATGATGCAGCAATATTTCGCAACCAATATGCAATATTGCAATGTTTCAATGTAAGGTCTATGTATGATTATACAATCTTTCGGTGCTATATGGGTGATATCAAAAATAGATAGTCCCATTAAAAAAATCAAGTTGACCTTGATTTGACTTCTTAATTTGACCTCAAGGTCAAGTTCAAGGGCACCATCAAATGCGCATGTTCAAACCCTAACACTTTTGTATTTAATTTTTTTTCAAAAACGTCATTCTCACGAGATATTCAGGGGTACCCATACTTTTGATACATCCTGTATATGTATACAGAATGTAACTAAACAAAGGCATACGCAACACACCATCTGGCACAAGACAATAAACTAAATTGAAAAGTCCTGAACCATTTTTTAATCTGAACTTTATTTTTGACGCTATAAATTGTTAAAGTTTGCGTACTTAGTAGGCGTACTAAAAGCCTACTATAAAGCGGTGCTGTTTTTCGTTGTAGCCACGCACTAATGGGCAAATTTTAACAAGTTTATAGCGTCAAAAATAAAGCTCAGATTAAAAAATGGCTTAGGACTTTTCGATTTAGTTCGTCGTCCTGCACTTGATGATGTGCTTTGTATACTTTTGTTTAGTTACCTAACCTGTATATGTACATTTTTTCTTTCCATTGTATTATTGTTGTTTACAGAACGAACCGGCAGAAAATAATGTACAGAACATAATGCCACGTCCTATAAGCCCCTTGGTAGAGGTCTTCACGCCGGTTGTAAGTGGTGTAACCCTAACGAATTCTGAAAATAAAACAACCGCATCAACTACTACTCCTACTACAACCAGTACTGTATCAACCAGTACAAACAAAACAGCATTGACTACTGCTGCTATTAGCACAACTACTGCTACAACAACAGCTGCAATTACAACAATACCTACTACTACTACTACCACCATTACCACTAGTACTACTACTACCACTTTGACAACAATTCCTACAACGACTTTGATAGGCCAAACAAGTAGTCCATCTGTTATTCCTCGGCACGCAACAACTGATTCTTCCATAAATACTTTGTTGAGTATAACGACGCGTTCAAATATGGTTCCATCATCACCTGCGACAATATCTACGGACAATGTACTAAACGGATTACAGACAAATTCGAAGGAAAGCCCCTTTGGTACAACATTCGAGGATTTGACTTTCCTAAATTCATTGGTGAATCGATTTTATTTATTTTAAATTTTGTATCAAATGTTTTTTACCTCAATACTTTTGTGCACAAAATACTAACAGAAATTGATCAATTGGTGTAAAGAAAACACATAATTGTTTTAACAAAAAATATGTAGTTACTACTTAAAAATGACTTTTTTCAAATAATTACACCCCAGATAGTAAAAGTAGTCATTTTGACGTCAAATTACATTATTTTGATGTCAAAATGTCATAATATATAATTACTGTGGCTATCTGGGATATGTATTTTCTCATTATTTTGTGCATCGTATTACTCCCACACAGCACAAAACTCAACAGAAATGTTGCAGAAACGTTTTAAAGTTTCAAGTAACACTGAAACGTCACTATAACATCTAAGAAACATAACATAGAAAAAGTAACATTTGAAACATTTATGCAATCTTTCATAAACATATTTGTGACAAAATAGCGGACATTTTCACGTATTTAAGACGTATATGAAACATTTTTGAATAAATTTTGCGAAGGTCTTTGAAATGTTTTGTGCTGTGTGGGATGCAAAATGAGTACATATGAAAAATATTGTGAGGAATTGATTTATATTTAAAAAATATGATATAGTAGTTCTATTTACAAAACTCGCAAGATGACCTTACCCTAAGATTAGGATCTTGGCAACATCAACATAAATAATTATTGTTATTTTTCTCCATTAATTTTAAGAACATTTATAATAATCAAAAGTAAGATGTAATTGCCAGTCCAATTTTAAAAACCAAGGAAAAATGAGCTTTATTGACCAACACTAGCTAAATGTAAGAATCTTTATTACAAAAGAGACGACGTTTTGACCCTAAATTGAGTCCTCTTCAGGCTATAACATTAATTCAAATACAAAAAAGTTTACAATACATTTTAAATATGATAATATTATAATGTCTACTTTATAAAAAATAATATTGAAATTAATAATACTTCTTATTTAAAAAACACAAAAAAACTAAACGCTTATAGTGTCAATCTGAAATGTAAGATCGAATATAATACAAAATAATACGTTTAATATGAAACGAAGTGTTCCCTATGACAAACTAAACAAGACAAACCGCAATTTAAATAGTCAACAAGTAAACAATGTTAGAGAGGATTAAAAGTCGAATAAATAAGTCAAATGATCCACAAAACCAAAATAACCCGTACCTAAACTTTAAAAAGAGAAGAAAATACATTAAAATGTATATGCTAAATGAATAAAAATCATACTAAAACCGACTAACTATCTCTGAAATAACATAATATTATAAGTTACTAAGATTTAAAATAAATTAAGGATAGTGTCGTAAATTGGGTTTAAATTTTCAGTATCCTTTTGCATATTAATAGAGTTTTTTAGTTTTTTAATTAAGATCATTTCACCTATTTCCCTCTTTTTACATTACGTTCATTATGTAAGATTGAAACATTTGAACAAAATTATGAGAAACTCTATGTTTACTAATGACGGCAAGCACAATATATAAATGTTATATACTCAAGCATGTTACATGTAACGTATATGTTAGTTGTAATTTCTCACTCATAGATGTAACATTTTTAATATTACATATATACATTGTAGTTATATTGTCATTATATCCCAAGATAGCACTGACTTATCAATACATCAATGTGCTATTTGGTATATAATTACAATATAACTACAATGTAATATATGTTATATTAAAATGTTACATCTATGAGTGGGAAATTACAACTAACATGGATGTTACATGTAACATACACGTTATATTATTTGTTATATTCCGTATTATTATAGCAATGTAACAATTATATATCAGTGTTTGCTGGGTTTTAATGTATTTTCTTTTCTTTTCAAAGTTTAGAAACGGGTTATTTTGGTTTTGTGGGTTATTTGGCTTATTTATTCGACATTTAATCCTCTCTAACATTGTTTACTTGTTGACTATTTAAATCGCGGTTTGTCTTGTTTAGTTTGTCATAGGGAACACTTTGTTCCATATTAAACGTATTAGTTTTTTGTGTTTTTTAAATAAGAGGTATTATTAATTTTGATAGAATTATATATTTACATGGGATTACACTCATGAACTAGAGGCTAAAGCTCAACACGCATGATAAGCAACGACGCGATCTCTGTTAGTATGCCATCTAGATAAATGTATCAAGAGACGCGCAAGGAATATCGACTCTCTTATCCCGACTTCCTTTTCGAACGTGGCGCAATAAAGTCTTGTCAAACCGATTCTCGTGCACGTGTCGTAATAAATTATTTAATCAGCTTCCATCTCCTCCATCAAATTTCAATATTATTTTTTATAAAGTAGACATTATAATATTATCATATTTAAAATTTATTGTAAACTTTTTGTATTTGAATTAATGTTATAGCCTGAAGAGGACCCAATTTAGGGTCAAAATGTCGTCTCTTTTGTAATAAAGATTCTTACATTTAGCCAGTGTTGGTCAATAAAGCTTACTTTTTCTTGATTTATAATAATGTTGTATAATAAATATCATAATTAATTAACGTACTAAATGTAAATTTTTACAGTTACAGAACCAAAACGTTAAAACATCATCTAAAACATTAAGTGAAATAGAGCAAATGTTAGCAAACAGGGTGCGTATATAACACATATTATATTAATTTATACCTAGTTAAAAGGGGGACGTCATTAAATATCAAAATGACGTCATTCGACGTCAAAGTGACGTACGCTTATGCTATTTAAGTAATGAATATATGCATTCAAATATATGCATATCTCTAATATAAGAGCTTAACAGTTTATCCAAATATTTCGTAAACGCACTTTGTATATGTCAATTAAATATTTCCTTTTTTTCGTAGATTTTAGCGCTTGCATTGGCTAGACCCGAATTGACACGCTCGCCGAAAGCAATTAACACCATAGATTCAAACAACAATCTTAACTCCATCAAAGATGTTCCATCTTCCGAACCAATAATGATCGATTTATTGGCGTATCCGTCAACGTCACCCTCAAGCGTCAGTAGTAGCACATCAACTACAACAACTACATTGGCACAACCTAGTAAAGCACCGATAAGTACCACGACCAGGGCACCAGTCGTTATCACCGCCAAACCTAAGACGACAACGCGACCCAAAACTATCACTCGAGCGCCTACAGGAATAGGTGTAAGCTTATGGCGGGCGTTGTTTGGCAGCAACAATCCTTCCGCGGCGACCACATTAACGACTGTTAGACAAAGACCGACTTCCAGACCGGTCCAAACCACCCAAAGGTCCGTCGAGATCACTCAGAGACCGATTAGGCAATCGACTACGCAAACGAGTCACATAATGTCCGCGATCAGATCGCACACAACGCCGAGGAGCGTAGATATTTCGGATATCAAAGTGACATCGTCGACCAAATCTGACGAGAACAATGTGAATCCTGTTTCCGTTTCGACGCCAAGTTCGATTTCAACGCGACAGACACTCTTGAATAATCCAAACCCAAGATTGACCGACGTCCCTACATCTACGTACTCATCCGAGGACGACGCAAAGTTCCTGATCTCGCTCTTGCAAGCTGTACAAACAGGTATATAAATTAAAGTTTTTTTCTTTTACACAGTAGCCCAGCAAACACCGATATATAATTGTTACATTGCTATAATAAAACGGAATATAACAGGTAATATAACGTGTACGTTACATGTAACATCCATGTTAGTTGTAATTTCCCACTCATAGATGTAACATTTTAATATAACATATATTACATTGTAGTTATATTGTAATTATATACCAAATAGCACATTGATGTATTGATAAGTCAGTGCTATCTTGAGATATAATGACAATATAACTACAATGTAATATATATGTAATATTAAAAATGTTACATCTATGAGTGGGAAATTACAACTAACATATACGTTACATGTAACATGTTTAAGTATATAACATTTATATACTGTGTTTGCTGAGAGGATAAAAAAATTACTTTTTCTTTCCCTAAGTGCGATAGTACGTTTTTCGAACCCAAGGAACACACTGAAGTCAAGAAAAAGGTCAAAATGACTTTATTTTGATTTGAAATGTCATGATTTTTCATATGACGAAAATTTGATTTATCATGATATCACGTACACTGTTCACAAGACGAAAAAATGATCGATTTTACGCTGGCTCTGTAGATTTATAATATAATGTAAAAATTATTTGAAAATGATAAAAAATCAAAATTACTTATGTACTTTTTCCTATTAGATATAGACAACTTTCTTTTTGCATACTTGGTTTTTAATCCATGCTAAAAATAATCTTTCAAAAAGTTATATTAAGGAAACAATTCTCGGGTTCGAGTCCCGATTCAGCCGACTTTCGGACCAATATTTTTCTCGCCTATTTCTTTACAGGGGATGTTAAGAGAAGGAACAGGGGGAATTTTTGAGATCCCAACCATAGGATTCAAATTCCTTTTTCAAATGTTCTTTCTTTCATAAGTGTCGCAATAACATCGCGTTTGGCTCTATTGGTCGAGAGGAATCAAGTGGAGATTGTGGCTTTAAAAATTAAAAGAGCTGACTTAATAAGTATTTCATTATTAAGGAAACAATGTTAACATTTATTGTAAAAATTGCAATACATATTGTAATATTATATATATATATAATATATATAATTTTTAATAAATATATGTATATATATAATATATATATATAATATTTAATAAATAATATTTTTTAATAAATATTTAATGTTTATTAAATTTTGTATGTATAATTATATATTTATTGAATATGATATATATATTAAATATAAATTTAATATATATCATATTCAATAAATTTATTTCATGTTTTACTGGATAAATGTGTTATATTTTTAATCTTCTTTTATATACAATATATACCTATATGTATATCGGCTGTAGAGCCTACCATGATGTCTTCTGCGTTTACAGAACTTAATTTTTCGTTGATTAGGAATAATATCTTTGGTTTGGATCTGGTTTGGAGCAATATTAAGAATATATAATTCGGCTCTTTAAATAAATACACAATATATATCTATACGCATATCGGCTGTAAAGTCTACGGCAATATCTTCTGCGTCTACGAAAATTAATTTTTGTTAATTAGGAATTAGAGATTTAAACCAAATTCCTAATTAACGAAGAATTAATTTTTGTAGAAGCAGAAGACATTGCGGTAGGCTCCTACAGCCGATATGCGTATATATATATTGTGTATTTATTTAAAGAGTCGAATTATATATTCTTAATATTGCTTCTTATATATATTGTAAAAAAGAAAACTCGTATAGGACCACGGAACACAGACAATTGCATAATGTAAATAATCATCAATCAGAATCCTTCATTTTTTTATATCTTCAGGATTTTCATCCTGAAGATAGAAATGAAAGATTCTAATTAGTTGATTCTTTTATGCATTATGCAAAAGTTTGTGCTCCGGCTCTTAGACTGTTTTGGTTCCTATATTACTACAATAGGATGTATTTTTGATGTTTCCTTGACGTCAACAAATCGTCAAATTTTGAATAAAAAAATCATCATATTGACTTTTTCTATTGGGGAAGATTTTTTTATGTTAAACTTGGTTGTTTGAGAATTTTCCTAGCATTACAGGATTTTGAAAGGAACCAAAAATGATGTTTTTGGCCACTTTTAATTTCCCAGGTAACGCATACGTCATTTTGACGTCGAATGACATCAGTTTATTACTTGAGTTTTTTACGGCATAAAGAAAGACAAATCCCAGACAGCACACAATATTTATGATAAAAATTTATAAATATTTATGAATATATATTTTTTTCAAATATTATATAAATATTTTGAAAATGCTTTATAAAAATCTTTGTTTAACATATTAAAACATAGATTAAATATTTCATATAATATTGATGGTATGTAAAGATAAATGTTTATAGTATATAATTATTTTGTAAATATTTTTTACTAAATTATTAGTTCTTTCATTTACCGCTATGTAACGTATATCTTTCTCGTATTTGATTTTTGTCGTGAGAATTATATAAGACTGGCAAAAACGGAAATTAATAAAGTTAAAAATGTCATAACGTTATTTCAATTTTTACATTCTGCAACAGAATGTCTTTTAACAAATAAATTTACGTATATATCGATGTGTACGTAAATTTATTTGTTAAACTACTCGGTTGCCTAAGTGTATTCAGTGTATATTATAATTTTATAATCTATTATAAAATAAATGTCTAATAAGTTACTTATAAACTTTTTACACAATATATACCTCCTTCTTTAAATTAAAAGAACCGACCTAAAAATTCTTATTATTTTTACACATTTTTAACTTTTTATAAATAGTTAATAGAGTTTGAAAAAGACAAAAACATCTAATCGAATAAATTTTAGATTAAACTACATCAACCAATCGTTTTGATTAAAAATCGTTGATTATGTCTTTTTAAATCATGATTTCTTACTGAGTATTTATTAAAGAAAATATAAATTTTAAAAATCTGTATTATAATGATTTAATAAATATATTTATAATATTCACCATAATATTTATCGTAAATATTTTCTGATATTTACGATAAAAATTTATGATCTATTTAATCTAATTCAAAACTCCAAAAACATTTATAAGATATTTATAAGATATTTATGATAAATATTTATAAAATATTAAAGTAATTATTATAAATATTTTATAAATATTTAATAATATTTTGTGCAGTCTGGGATACGTACTTGCTTGCGATTTAGAGTAGCTGTTTAGATTAGTTCAAATAATATTTCTTTATATGTTTTTAAAATTGTTGATTTTACTTGTAAAATTTTTATTCCCAACATAGCAGACGAACAAAAATTTTTCTTTAAAATACGAAATTAATTCTTACACGCGCCTTCGATCAAAATTATCATTATCGGTATTTCTTTTATTAATCCATAATAAATTTTTATTCACATTAGAAACGAAATCGAGCACCTCTGCAATGACACAAAATAAAGTAACCGAGGATGATGAAGCCTTCTTGAGAGCGATATTAAATAATCAAGCTGTTATTTCGACTATGTCACCATCGTCTACTGAAGTAAATAATGCTGCTTTGCTCGCATTACTTTTAAAACAGCAAGGCATAGAGCCGTCAACACCAGCGATCAAAGTTAGGGAACAATTGCAAATAGCTGTGAGTAATGTGTTCTTTTTATTATCTTCTATATCTTCTCCAAGATATTTTGAGATTATATATGTGCTTTAATTATTATATATGTCTCTCAGCATTTACAAAAATATTAATAAAAAAGATTGTTACGTGTTTTTATTTACAAATATTAGAATATACATAAAATACTCGCTAAATATATGAATAATAAAATAATAATATTTGTAATATTTGTATATAACATTGCATATGTTTTTAATATTGCAATAAATTCTCTAGTCTATTTTGAGCTTTTTTCTTATTTAAAAATTGATATATTATATATATTAGAGCCTGGACTTAACTACTGCTCGGCCAATGACAACTAATAGACCGATCTCCAGCACTCAATCTGTGATTACCACGAAAAGAAGGACAAGTACACCGAGACAATCATTCAGATCATCGCTACGAACTCCCAGTTCAACATGGTCCCCCAGTTCAACGTATCCACGTCCTCTCTTCGGAGAAAATTCGGGTAGTGGACTATTTACTGCTACTCGAGCCCTCGGTCAATTTCTTGGCGCTGCCATTACGGTAAATATATTTGTTTTGTCATAAAAGAGTCCTCCGAGTCGCTTTTCTTACTTGGTCTATGATAAAAACTTATTAATTATATAAAAATATAAAATTTTGTATCCTAACGAGTTCTATATTTTTTTCTTTTTTTTTATTTTATTTTTTATTTATTTCATTTTAGTTATTTTTTAAATTTTATTATTTTTATCCTTCTATATTCTACAATATTATATTCAAATAAAATAATTAAAATAATTAAAATAATAAGGTAAAAATTTTTTTATTTTATATTCTATATAACATAATTGAAATAATTTTTTAAAACAATATTTGTTATTAACATTTTTATTTCGGTTTTTGATAGGGTGCAGCCCAACAATTACAATCTTTTCTAAGAAGAAATAGTACCAGAAGCATAACTGGATAATATTAGAAAATAGAATAGGGCAATATATACTAGCGTTTCGCGCAAAGTGCGGGTCTCAAAGCTTTTCTTCCTCAAAGATTTTACTTTTTTTTATAACTTATTTTTATTAGTTTTATTTATAGAGTTCATTATCAGTTTATCTATACTATTTATATAAAAACACAAAGTTTGTCAGTTGGATAGATTTATATTTGGTGAAAAATAATATATATCAATTAATTATTATGTCGATTATTGGTGTTTGAGATTCATTTCAAATATAGACGGATTGAAATGAAATTTGAATCAATAAAGATTTTCACAATTAATTGTTGATCGCCAGTGATAAATTTGAACAAATAATAAGATGCAATTTAATTCGACCAAAAACTGGCTATTCATTTATTGAAAATAAGTATACACTACGTTTGGACCCACATTGTGGTCCTTTTCAAGTGCTAGAATACAAAAATACATAATTTGGCAAGCGAAATTAACATTATATTAACACTAAATTTGATCTGTAATGCACACTTGTTCTTATTCAGCAATTACATTAATTAAAAATAGAAACATGAAAGTTGTCCTGTCATATCGACAATCTGTTAGCTACTGTAGACTAGTATTATGTTTTTAAATCATTTGAATAATGTTGTCATAAATAGGACTAAGGTTATCAGTGTCTATTTGTAAATTAATTTTATTTATTTGTCTTTTTATGTAGCTTGAGCCATGTATTTTACATACCGAGAAAAATAGACGAAAAAGAGAGATCGCTAAAATGTTCTACATAAAAAGACAAACAAATAAAATTAATTTACAAATAGACACTGATAACCTTAGTCCTATTTATGACAACATTATTCAAATAATTTAAAAAACATAATACTAGTCTACAGTAGCTAACAGATTGTCAATATGACAGGACAACTTTCATGTTTTTATTTTTAATTAATGTAATTGCTGAATAAGAATAAGTATGTATTACAGATCAAATTTAGTGTTAATGTAATGTTAATTTCGCTTGCCAAATTATGTATTTTTGTATTCTAGCACTTGAAAAGGACCACAATGTGGGTCCAAACGTAGTGTATACTTATTTTCAATAAATGAATAGCCAGTTTTTGGTCGAATTAAATTGCATCTTATTATTTGTTAGGATAAAGATTAATACTTTATCATCTTGGGACTGTTAGACTGTGTTAAAATTTTTCAGCTTTTAATGTCAATGTGTTTGAAATTTATAAAAACATCAAAATTTAAAGATTTTATATATATTCTTATAAGAAAAAAAATTTTTATACACTCCTCATAACAATTAGAGAATCACTTAAATTTTCTTAAAAATCGGCAAAATTCATGCAGTCAGCTGTAACTTCGTTAAAACCAAATTTAAATAAAAAAAGATTTTTAAAGCTTGAAGAAAACTTCAAGCTCTTATACCGGAGAGTTGAAAAATGTAGATATTTTTATACACGTAGGGGGCAGGTCCACAAAATGAGAAGTTTATAATTTTGTCCAGTACGTAGTTTTCTATATGTAAAAATTACCAAACTTACAAAAACTTTAAAAAAGTATTGAGCTTTCGAAAGAAGAAAAAATTCAAGCTTTAAAAACCTTTTTTTTTTATTTAAATTTGGTTCATTTTTAACGAAGTTACAGCTGACTGTAGTAGTAGTAGTAGTAGTAGTAGTAGTACATTTATTGTTCCCCTTGGGGTTACAAATTACATACAACTCATAATGAACAAAGAACCAAAACTTTACATACACAAAAACATATACGCAATATAAAACTTTACAATATAATCTTAACCTAACTTAATTCTAACTTAATCTACTTTAGCCTAATTAATCTAGGGTTGGGCTTCCGCTTTAGGTCACCCGTTGACCAGGTCATTTTTCCTTGGCTTCTGCCCAACCCTATACACACACACATACGCTTTTGGGACTTCCGTTTCCTTTTGCCTTCTTTTCTTTTACTTTCTCCCCTTTTGTCCCCCTCGCATCATTTACTCCTCCATTCATCCTTCTTCTCTCTTAATCTCCCCGTACGCTCCTCTCTCCTCTCCCCTCTCTTATCTCTCTCTCTCTCTCTCTCTCTCTCTCTCTCTCTCTCTCTCTCTCTCTCTCTCTCTCTCTTTCTATCTCCCTCATCCATCCTTCTCCCTTTCCCTTTTTTCCTAATATCTCCCTCACAGCTTCCTGCCAACTCTCTTTTCTCTCTCCCTTCAATCCACACCTCTCCCATACATGCTCCAATAACTCTTCCTCTTTTCCACATATCCTGCATTTCCTCTTCTCCACCTCCTCCCAATACCTGCTTTCTAATATTTCGCTTCCTAATCTAAATCTTGCTACTCTCCTCCATCTACTTTTTCCCCAATCCTTTCTTAAATATTCTGGTACTCCTTCTCTTCTAACCGCCTTGTACCATTTGTTCCAAATTCTGACCTTTCTATTCTCTCCTCCCTCTCCCTCCTCTGCTCTTCCAAATCTCTCCTTATTAGCTCCCCAAACCATCCCTCTTCCTCTCCTCTTCTCTCCTCCACCTCTTCTATCCTCCTACCTCTTTTCCTAAAATACTCTTCCCTTTCCCTTTCCCAATCCGATCCCACTCTTCCTTCCTTCGCCCTTTCTCTCATTTCCTCCCAACATTTCCTCGCCAATTTGCTTCCTCTTCTTTCCTCCATTCTCTTCTCAAAATTCCACGCCCTCTTCCCGGCAGTTACAGCTGACTGAATTTTGCCAATTTTTTAAGAAAATTTAAGTGATCCTCTGAAGTGAGTTGTGAGGAATGTATATTCTTCTGAGAAAATATTTTTTATATTTTTTGACATTAAGGGGATCTCTCAGCAAATGACGAACACCGACAAAATAGTAGCACACATATCCAAAACATATATGCACGTATACACAACGCACGCACACATGCGTATGAACCGTATTTTTAATTACAAATTTTTATTAGATTTTTAATCTAAGTTTTGAGGATAACAGTGCTTTCTTTCGTGTCCTCTTATCTTAGGGAATGTATATTTTTATTCGTATAAAGTGCATGTGTTTTATAATATATAAAGCACATATTATGATGAGGTTGACAGTTCGTTTGCAATTCGAGATGTCAAATCGAGATGAAAATAAATAATAAAAAATAAATAATAAAAACCGTTATTTCTCATTTTTTATATCAAATCGAATTTTCCTGGGATTATTGATGCATGTATTGCAATCGTATAGAGAAGCATTTTCAATTATATCAAATTAAAAAAAAATATACTAGAAGTACGAAAATGTATGACTGTGTCGATAAAACAGAAATCGTGAGGGATCCCCTTAACTTTTGACTTTTTTGAACAAAAATTTTTTTTATGGATACCCACCCTTCAAAAAATTTTTCTTGGAAGAATATATTACACAGCCGAATTTCGACGTTTTAATATATTTCGAATACATTAACATTAAAAGCTAAACAAATTTTTTTTATGCATATCCAACCCCAAAAAATTTTTTAAAAGAATATATTACGTAGCCTATAACACTTCCAAAATGATGACTTCTTTAAACAAAAATGACTTTTTTGAACAAAAATTTTTTTTATGGATACCCACCCCTCAAAAAATTTTTCTTGGAAGAATATATTACACAGCCGAATTTCGACGTTTTAATATATTTCGAATACATTAAAAGCTAAACAAATTTTTTTTATGCATATCCAACCCCAAAAAAATTTTTTTAAAAGAATATATTACGTAGCCTATAACACTTCCAAAATGATAAAGAATCCTTAAAATTTCATTTCAATTGATCTACGTGTTTTGAAGATGATCGCGAGGACAAACAAATAAACTGAGAAATTCTGTGTCTTTATATAAATATATATATAGTATAGATATAATTATTTTGACCCGCGCTTCACGCGGGCTTTAAAATCTGTAGCTAACACTTTTTTGAATGTATATTTTTTTCGTGCGAGCTTAAAAGCTATATAAATACCATTTGTCTGTCTGACTACAAACTACTCTTTTATTAATGGACCGATTTTCTCGAAATTGGTACCAAAATACGATTGCAAATTTATCGAGGTAAAAACATTTAGCTTGATATCTCAAAATGTAGAAAAAATGCATATTTTTTAAAACTTAAAATTTTATAAAAATTTAAATTTTTCACTGATTATCGCAAAACTCAAAACCAAACATTAAATAATAATAATTTATTTACGTAAGAAAATTTATTCAAATATCTTGTACTGGGATTAATGTTTCATCTAATAGTACTATTTGTCATGAAAAAGTTTGAAATTCGAGGTCCCAAAAATGGACGAAATTTGCTATTACTTTTTCAAAAAAATAGGTCTCTAAATATGCGATTGCGTGGGTGAGTGTGCGTGAGTAAGTGCAAACTTAAAAAAACTACACAGCAGCCTTCTCCGAAAAATTTTCAACATTTTGGTACCAATTTGGTGAAAATCAGTTCATAAATGTGAAAGTAGTTCGCGGTCAGACATACAGACAGACGGAACTTATATATAATATATATATATATATATATATATATATATATATATTTATTTCTGTTTAATTTGAAAACAAACATCAGAATTGATATTGTAGCAAATTTTTATTATATTAATTAAAAATATGGTTATCATTAAAAAAATATAAAAATGACAAAATACATATAATGAAAATCTATAGGAACTAGATACTATATAGGAAAATTCGAGCTACAATTTTTTCTTACAAACAATGATGTAGTTTTTTATACCAATTCATTCTTTTTATTATTTTATGCGGTTATTGAGGTAGGATCGTCGAAAAATGAATATTTTATAAGATATTTTCATAGTTTATATAAAATTATGTCAATTATAAAATATCTCGCAAAGAATTTATTTTTTGACTATTTTATATCTTTTTATAACTTTTTATTCTAAAAATTATGAGAAATCGATTTATTTTTAAAAATATGGTGATTTTATTTTTAAAAATATAAATGACCTTTCAATAACCTTAAAAAGCGTCCTTTAGAAAAATAATTAATAACGATACGCTACCTTCTGTCCCCCTTTAAATCAGACAATTTTTGTTTAAAGAATTTTGTTGTATAATCAAAAATAAAAAAGTTTTTGGAGGTGGTCGATTAAAATGGAACATCCTGTATACAACGGAAATGAAGATTACAGAAAATGCATAATATATTATCATTAAATTACAGATTAATTATAATTTTCCATTTATAAATGTTATAAATGAGCTAGTATAATAAATTAATTTTTTGTAATTAATAATATAAACACAAACAATGTAAAATATATTATTTCTTTTTTATTAAATATAGACATTTTTTATTAGAATTACTT